GAAAATGAAGAAGCTCAACATCATCAATCCAAACAAGAGCAGAGATCGACTGTTGTGAGTCACACAACACAAGTTGTTCACATACAAGTTCAAGTTGAAGCTGAAGAAAATTATAACAAGTTCACAAGAGCCAAAGTATGACCTTGAGTGTATCCTCTCCGAATTTAGCGACTCTCTCAAGAACAGCTGTGTTGAACACTAATGACTGAATACAAGACGAGTTTTGGGATCACCTCCAAGACATCAGACATGAAGAAATAAACGGTCCTTAAAAAAGACAGAAAAAGAATAAAATACCAAAATGGATGTCAGGAGAGCCTCTGAAACTTGTTCTACAACCTAAAGTAGATAAAGCACATGCTTTAAATGATGAAGTACAAAAACTAAACAGAACATTTCAAAGGGCAGCTCAAGAAACAAACCATATACTGAAGTGTGCAAAGACCTGGAGTTAGAAAGCCAACAAAAAAAAACATGAGTGGTATTTCTCAAGCTGAAAGAACAGTAAAAAAAAAAAAAAAATCAAGCCTCAGGTTTTTATTGAAGCATTCTATGGGCAATGTATTGAGGGACACAAGAAACATTAAAAGAAGGCTGAAGGAGTACACAGACCGCCGTGCTAGACTTGGTCCACAGTCAGCCCTTTCAGGAGGGAGTACGCGATCAAGAGCCAAGGGTACAGAAGGCAGAAGTTCAAGCTGCACTGGAGGCATTGGCCAAAAAAAAAAAAAAAAAAAATTCTGGGAACTGACAGAAAACAAATCGAAATATTTCAACAAACAGATGCAATGCTGAAAGTGCTCACTGGTCTATGCCAAGAAATTTGGACGACAGCTATTTGGCCAACAAACTGGAAGAACTGATCCGACAGAAAGTGAAAAGTATCAAGCAATATCAATATCACGCGCAAGTAAACTCTGCTGAAGATCATTCAAAAACAGATACAGGAGTACATCAGCAGGAAGCAGTCAGAAATTCAAGCAGATTCAGATGACAATGTAGTATGAAGGATATCAGTGTTGATGGTAGGTGTAGCTTGTCTGAAATCAGACAGATGTTGACCTGTGATTTATTGACTATGCAAAGGCATTTGGCTTTGTGGATCAGAACAAAATATTGGATAACTTTGAGAAAAAGTGGAATTCTAGAAACGTCATTGTTCTCATGCAGAATGTATTATGGAACAAGAGACGCTTATTCAAATACAACAAGGGAACACTGCATGATTTAAAATCAGGAAAAGTACGGGAAGATGGTGCCCATGTAGAATCACCCTCTCTATGCTGTAGTTTTAAATTAAAATGGTGCGTGGGGGAGTGGGGTGCCAGCCCCACCCGCTACTAGAACTCACTGGCTCAGTAATACTACTTCTGGGTTCGGTAATGCACAATTGTACGGTTGAGATATATAAGCATTATATTAAAGTCATCGAGAGCATGAGAGATAATACAATAATACAGTCAGACATATTACATGGTACCACTGCTCACCTCTGCCCCGCTTGGTGGTCCTCGTGGGAGGAACCCGGCTGCCAGGAGCCGCCTCCCTCACGGGAGCAGAACCTCTCGTCCACCACCCTCATGGGAACAGCCTTTTCATCTACCTCTCTTATGGGAGCCGCCCTCCTTCCTCAGCCGCCCTCCTGAGAACCAGGGAGCCTCATTATTTATTGCTAACCACACATCATATCATTTTAGGGGGATCTGATTACAGAATCATACATCACAGAAAGGGGCAATACAATTCATCCTAGAACAAGTTTGATCACTCTGGTGTCTCATACAATAAAACAGACAATTACTATAACCTAAGTCATAGGGAGGGGTAGCAACATAGGCAATACAATCAATAGGAGGGGGATGGCCTAGGGGTGTGCCCACATTTGTTGTGGGATAAACAGTGGTCTCTGCTTGATCTAGACAGCCGATACTGGCTACCTAACCTTGGTCATCCTTGGGCGGGTTTGCCCTCTCTGGTATCTCCTGCAAGTAAACAGACAACTGCTATCCTTATCAGAAGGGAGTGGGCCTTACTTAGGGTGAGTCAGACGCTGACCGCCTAGTGAACAGTCAGTCTCAAGCTAAATCTGGCATGTATTTTGGGGAGACAACTTAAGAGAAATCCTTCTGTTCCCCACACTATGCTCCCATTGTTAGATCAGAAAATGAAGAGAATGTGGCTGCTAGTTAGAGAGCCAGAGAAGGCTGGAGACCCTTGAGCAGGCCGGAGATCCAGAGCAGAGCTCTTGTCTCCTCTTGCTGTGGACACTGAGCTAAGTCAGTTTCCAAAGACAACCTCAGCAATGTGGTCAAACTGTCCACTCTTCCAACCCCAAACTTCCAATCCCCTTCCAACACCAAACATGAGAATTACAGCCCTGAGGGTATGGGAAGGTGGAGGGTGGGAAGGAGGAGCTAATAGCATTGATGACTGTATAAACCCACTGAGGGGCTCAAACACCAGAATTATATGTGAGTGGATATAATGGATAATGTAAGATACAAGCAATAAATTAATAAGGATTCCTGGGAGGGAGGGCTGGGGAGGGAGGGGATAATGGGGGAGCTGATACCAAGGAGTTCAAGAAGAAAGAAAACGTTTTGAAACTGATTGTGGTAGCAATTGTACAATACTGCTTGATGTGATTGGACTACGGAATATTAGGGTATCTGTAAGAGCTCCCAATAAAATGATTTAAATAAATAAATAAGATCGGGGAAAGTATGTATCAGGGTTGTATCCTTTCATCATATCTATTCAATCTCTATGTTGAGCAAATAATTCAAGAAACTAAACTATATAAAGAGAAGGCAGCATCAGGATTGGAAGAAGGCTCGTTAACAACCTGAGATAGGCAGGTGCCACAATCTTGCTTCCTGAAAGTGAAGAGCTTGAATCATTTACTGCTAAAGATCAAATAATACATACCGTTTCCAGAATGGATTACATCTCAGCATAAAGAAAACAAAAATCTCATAACTGGACCAATCATCAGCATCCTGAAAAATGGATAAAAATGGAAGGACTTGATTTTACTTGGATGCACAATAGGTTCCTGTGGAGTCAGCGATCGGAGAGCCTGGTGTCTGGAGGACATCATACTTGAACTAGAAGAGCAGCACAGGAAAAGACAGCAAGATCTCTTGCAATGGGTGCAGCTATTGCAACCAGGCAGTGTTTCAATACTTTTCTACACAGGATCACTATGAGTCAATAAATTTTTCACATAAAATAAATCTTTGATTAATGAATTATGAAATAAATTATCTCTCAGAAAATTTTAATTTTAATAAACACCTCATCATTAGACACGTTTACAGACTTGTAACATAGGAAGAAATCTACCAAAATCTGTTTGGGAAGGTAAATTCAGGCAATCTCTCAAATGAGTTTTCCCTATAGTAGTCATCAAGCAGTCAGAAAGAACCAGTACAGAGATTGTAGACCCAAGAGCCAAGCCATCTCAACGTGTATTGTCTAAATTCTATGAACCTTGTGAAAGCTTCTTAATTTAGCTCAGCTTGTATCATCTCATCTACAAAACAGACTTCTTGTTGCTGGTGGGAATGTAAAACAATTTGCTGCTATCATAGAATTACCATGTGTGCTAGTCCAGGTTGACTAGAGAAACAAATTCATAAACACGCATATGTGTATAAAAGAGCAATTGTATATTGAGAAAACATCCCAACCCAGTCCAGATCAAGTCCATTAAGTCCGATATCAGCCCATATGTCTGACACCAATCTATAAGGTCCTCTTCAGACTCACGAAACACATGCAATGACACCGAATGCAGGAAGGTCACAGGCCATTAGGTGGGAAATCTTGTGGAACCAGTGGCAGTATAAGCATCTCAGCGTTGGCAGGGGTCTCTACATGGCTCCTCCAGCTTCAGGGCACTAGTGTAGCTCCGAGTGTCTTATCAGCAGGAATGTCTCACAGGGAGTGAGCACGTGTTCCAACTCCAGTGAGCTATTTATCCCCCTAGCACCTCCAAATGAGGTCATCAAGCTGTGACCTGATTGACAGGCTAAACTTCATCGTTTAGCTCTTAATAGTCCCACATTGAACAAGGGATTATGTAACTACCACACCATGTGGCCCAACAATTTCACTCCTAGATATTTACTCAAAAGAAATGAAAACAGATACTTATACACCAATATTAATGGCAGTATTATTTATAATAGCCAAAAGATGGACAGTGTCCAAGTATTCAGCAATGAATGGGGCATAAAAATGTGATAGATAGATAGATAGATAGATAGATAGATAGATAGATAGATAGATATAGATGTATAGATACACACAAAAATTCAGTAGGAAAAAACAGAATAAACTTCTGACATGTAGTACAAAATAACTGAAAGGTGATATTATTATGCTAAGTTAAATAAGTCAGGCACAAAAAGACAGAAATTGTAAGAAATTCTTGACATGATATGAAATGTCCAGAATAGGCAAATTAGTAGAGGCAAAAGTAGATTAGAGGATGGGAGAGGGGCAGTGATGAGTTATTATTCATCCAGTAGAGTTTCTATTTAGAGTGATGAATGAATTTAGCATAGCATTATATGTTTCCCTAATGGAGGAGGTACCTGCTGTTGTGCTTTTTGAACTTTGGGGGTTAGTGTGAGTTGTGGTGAACATCAAGTCTACGAATGTCATGAACTACATCTAACAGTCAGCGAAAAGCCAATGACAGACAGACAGTCTTCGTCACCCTTTAGTCGTGTGGAAAAGATGCTTATGATTGAACTTAGAAGTGATGGAATTTAGGAGCAACGAAAAGATTCTTATGATTCAACTATTGAATTGTGTGACATGTGGATTAAGTGCCAATAAAACTGCTAAAGACAGGACAAAATATGAACAATTTTTTAAACAGGAAAAGATTCTTAATGTGCCTTAAGTTAACCATCTTATTTTTCCTGTTCTTTCTAACTTGTGCTCTCTTTTGTTTCTCTTGTTTGTGTCCCCATGTGTCTTGTGTGCAGTGCGTTTGGCGGAGTTATGCAGCTGATGAGAAGTCTGTTTCCATTGCCACCTGGAAGCCACACCTGAAGGCCTTGCACACCTGCAGCCCTACCAAGTAGGTATCAGTGTGACAGCTGGTGCTGTCGTCAAGTCTCTGCAAGTTTGTCAAACAAGCCATGTGTAGTAGTAACCATAATATTACATGTTGATTTTGGCTCATCTGAGTCTCTCCTGCTCTTTGAAAGATTCCAAACTGTTTAGCAGCAACTCAGGCACAAAATTAAATATATTCAGTATTACTCCTTGCCATCCACAGGGAGGCTTAAAGACTTCAATCAATCTAAACTTTTATAGATTTTTTTTTGCTAATTCATGCATATTTGCTAACGTCTCATCTCTTAATACCCAACAGAATTCTAAAGGTCTTGAAACACAGTGATTATTAACCCCCTCCATTCATCACCTGATCCCAGGAGATGAGTGTTTTGAGAGCAATATACCTTTGTACTGCCAATATCTCAGACATTTCTCCTTGGATCCCCTTATAGGGGGGCCCTGATCTTTCACTTGCAGATCAAATTAATATCCGTATTAAAGGAAGAAAATCATCCATCTTAATAAGATCACAGTATAAAATGAGACAAGAGGACTAATCGGATTGAAATCTGAAACTAACATTCAAAATGTTTTAAATAATAAAATTACTTTTATTCACATTTCATTCATATATATATATATATATATGCTTATGCCTAAATTCAGAGTGGATAGGGAAATGCAGTTCTATCATGTGCCTCCAAGGAGAGAGAACCAGAAACATTATGAACAGACTTAGTAATTATCACAATTTTATTTTTTTAAAGGCCTCAGTCATGGAATTCTAGACTCTAGTTCAAGTAGCAGAGCACATCCGTGTTATATCATAACTCAAAAAGGGCACCGAAAACCTCACTGCCTTCTAGTCAATTTTGACTCATGGCGACCCTATAGGACAAGGTAGAACTGCCCCAGTGGGTACCCAAGACCGCAGCTCTTTATAGGAGTTGAAAGCCTCATCTTTATCTGCAGAACAACTGGTGTTTTTGAACTATTGACCTTGCGGTTAGCAGCCCAATGCGCAACCACTACACCACCAGATCTCTCTGTTGTTTCATAATCATCATCTAATTAAAGAAACTCCTAATTGAAATTCCCAAGGCAAGTCATCTAGCTTGATTGGAATCGTCAGTTCCTTAGATTCTTCCAAAGTTATCAAGTTGCTTATCTGTCTGAGTTTCTCTCAAATACATGCGTTTGCCTTCATAACCCAACAAAGCCAATCCTAGTGCTTACTGAGACTCGGCCCCTAACTGTGGTGATTCCGTCAGGAAAACCTCTTCCGTTTCACTGATCTGGAGGGAAGTTTCTAAGGAAGCCTTTGTAATCTGTTCAGAAGTTTGGAGTCTGGGCAGTTTGTGATGCAGCCAGTGGCGTGCACACCGAGCAGATCTAGTTGGCAGATAAAACGAGTGTCCGTAGCAAAATAAGAAGAGTGAAGGTCTTAATGAGATTATCGTGTACAGTGAAACAATACGACTAACCACACGCAGTTTTAAATTTCTGCATTTATATTTGTTGTAAATAAATATACTGATTCATTTGTTATGTTTTGTATAAAATTAATGATTAACTGCATTGCTTTCCTGCCCTTCCTGGGTCTCCGTTTTCCCATCACAAGGAACAAGGGATATGGGCTTATGTCCTTTAGAAGTTGGTGTCTAAATCCTTTTCAACATGAGGAACACAGATAAACATAGTCCCCGTCCCCCGACACACACACCCAAGGAAGCTTTGGGAGTTGCGTGGAAGCTTAGCAAGAACAGAAACACAAGCGCCAGTTGAGTGAATGGATGGTTCCAAACCCTCTTTTCACTTAGATCTTAAATTTTAGTCCTTTGATTGTGTACTGTTGTTAGGTGCCATCCAGTCGGCTTTGACTCATAATCCCCTTAGGTAGAGCAGAAGCAAACACTGCCCGATCATGTGTCAGCCACACAAGCCTTGCTATGTTGGACAAGCCCCTTGTGTCAATCATGTTGCTGAGGGTCTGCCTCTTTGGGGTTGGGCCTCTGCTTCACCAAGCATGATGTCCTTTCCCAGGTCCCTCCTGATAACATGCCCAAAGTAAGTGAGAAGAAATCTCAATATCATTTTTTTATTTTAATAAATCACTTTACTGGGGGCTCTTACAGATCTTTTAACAATCCATATATCAATTGAATCAAGCACATTTGGACATATGTTGCATTCAATATTCCCAAAGCACTTTCTACTTGAGACCTTGGTATTAGCTCCTTTTTTCCCTCCCACGAAATACACAACATTCCTCACCCTCCCATGCCCATAAACCTTCGATAATTTATAAATTAATTTTATGTTCATATTTTACACCATCTGCTGTCTCCCTTCACCCATGTTTCTGTTGTTTGTCCCCCTGGGGTGGGGGTTGTACATCAATCATTGCAATTGGTTCTCCTTTCTGCCCTCCCTGCCCCCACCTTCCCCGTACCCTGAGGTATCACTACTCTCATTATTGGTCCTGAAGGATTTATCTGTCCTGGATTCTGTGTGTCAAAGGCTCTTATCTGTACCAGAGCACATGCTCCCCTCTAGCCAGATTTGTAAGGTGAAACATGATTGTGGGGGGAAGCGACACACTAAAGAAATAGAAGAATGGTGTGTATTTCATCAGTGCTATACTGCTCCCTGGATGGCTGGTTCCTTCCTGGTGACCCTTCTGTGAGGAGGTGCTCAATTGTCTACAGATGGGCTTTGGTTCTCCATTGCAACCTCCTTGTTTACACCGAAATGGTTGTTTGTTTGGGGTCTTCTGATGCCTGCTACCTGATCCCATCAAAACCTCATGATCACACGGGTTGGTGTGCTTCTCCCATGTGGGTTTTGTTGCTTCCCTGCCAGATGGCCACTTGCTTAACTTCAAGCCTTTAAGACCCCAGATGCTATATCTTCTAATAGCCATCAGCTTTCCTCACCACATTAGCTTATACACCCATATTGTCTTCAGCGATTGTGTCTGAAAGGTGAGCACCACAGAGTGCCAGGTTATTAGAACAAAGTGTTCTTGCATTGAGGGAGGACTTGAGTAGAAGCCCAATGTCCATCTTGGGACATTAATACTTGGGACCTTAATACTTAACCTATAAATATCTGTTCATTGATCTATAACCCTATCGTTATATATTAATATATTTACATATGTACATGCCTATAATTAGACCTCTATAAATGTCTCTTGCCTCCTAGTTCTTTCTTAGATTTCCTTTTACTTTCTTCATGTTGCACTATCATGTTCAACCTTCATTCAGCTCTCTGTACTTCCTCTCGGCTACATTGCACTTGATCGAACCCTACCAGGCATTCTATGCCCTCCTTGCCATCAATTTTAGATTGCTTGTTGTTCCCTTGTCCCTGAGCTTGTTGGCTCCCCACTTCCTTTTCCCCCACCTCCTCCTCTCCCCTGTCCCCCGGAACCATCAATCCAGTTGTTTTCTCCTTGGGATTAAATATCCTGCCTATGTTATATAGAGACATTTAAAAAGAAAGAAAGAAAAAGAATAGCCTATGAATAGTTCCAGTTCTGTCTGCTGGCCCTTATGAATGTTTTCCAATCAGGTCTGATGCAGTGCCAAGCCCTTCCACCACCCACCACCCACCCCACCCTACCCCCACCCCAACACCCAAGTCTGAAAGTCTATTTTCAGAGCTCCTCGGGGACTTTATTACTTTGCTCCCCTTGCTGCTCTGTTGTGCTTCAAACATTGTGTTACACCCTGGTGTGGGGAGGTCAGACCAGGCACAATTCCTCCACTGTGTCTCCGGTGGTGCTGCCCCCACCTCCCAGTATTGCTGTGTGTCAGTAAGGCGATATTGTGTCTCCTAGTGAGGCCAGCCTATGCATTGGCTGCTCAGGGTGAGCCAGGATGCTGTTTCTTTCAATCTCTCTCTCTTTCTTTCTCCCTCCCTCTTAGTATACTATCATTACTTCTTAGGAGTATTCTGACTGTACCTTTTCAAAAGCAGATTTGGAGCTGTCCATTTTCACCAACACCGTAATTCAAAGACATCAATTCTCCTTTGATCTTTTTTATTCATTGACCTGCTTCGGCAGGCTTGTGAGATGACTGAAAATACCACGACTTGGGTCAGGTGCACCTTCGTCCTCAGAGTGACATTTTGCTTCTTCACACTTTAATGAGGTCTTTTGCAGCAGATTATTTTCCCAGTGCAAGACATCTTTTGACTCTTGAGTACCGCTTCCCTGGGGGTGATTGTGGATCTAAGTAAAGTGAAATCCTTGACCATTTTGAATTTTTTTCCATTTATCATAAGGTTTACCATTGGTCCAGTAGTGAGGATTTCTGTTTTCTTTATGTTGAGGTAAAGAAAGATGCTGGGGGCTGTTTGTGTTCTTTGTTCTGTAAATACTTTGAGTCCTCTTCATCTGAAGGAGCCTTCTTCCAAGCCCGAGACTTCATTCACCTCCATTTAGTCCAGCTTCGCAGAGCACTTGCTCAGCAGTTGTTGAATAAAGGAGGCAGTCCTGACACACGCCTTTCCTGATTTGGAACCATGTGTTCTCCCTTGTTCTGTTTGAGCCACTGCCTATTGGTTCATGTGCAGTTTCTACATGAGGACAGCTAAATTTTCTGCAATTTCCATTCTTCATAATGTTATCTGTAAATTGTTATGATATGAGTATTAGACCCTTTCAAAATTATAATTTTTTTAAATGAAGGAAACTCTTTTGCCATGTGTTTCTTGGGTACATGAATCAAAAATGGGCATTACATAGGAAATATCCTCTGTGTCTTCATGACGGTAGATAAATGGGAAGGGGGAAGGCTATTAGAAAACAACAAGAGGAGTCCCGAGTGAACAGAAGAGAGTGGTCTATAATCATAGGTGATGATTTCACTGTCCACAGAAGGCAGTTTGGGGTTACATATCAGTCAGAAGCCTGGAAAAGGTACTGAAGCAGTGGGCCAAATTCTCCCTGTGCATAAACTATTACTTTACTCACATAATTTCTCTCTGGTGCTTCCCGATTTTAAATAGGGGTAAGAGAGTGGCGGGATTTATGCAAACACCTGCCTATGTCCTGCCCTCCGTGGTTATCAACCTTCCCTGCGCCGCCACCCCCCCTCCTTTTTCTGCACCTGTAACTAACCTCTGAGTTTCAGCTCCATTTACTGAACGACAGTTATGTGTCCAGAAGGACACAGCAGTCAGTGACAGAGCTCATGAAATCCCAGCTACCCGGATAGCTCTTCCTCTAGTATATTTCATTGTTTCTAAATGCAGTGGTTCTTGTTGTTGCTGTTATTTGTTAAACCATTGAGAATGTGATGGAAATTATAGGCTCATTCCCAAGAAAAAATACTCAATGCACAAAAACTCAAAACCGTGTCTGTGACTTAAATATATTTATCGATTCCCTGAAGCCAAGTTCAGAACCTTTGCTTGAGAAAGCAGGCCAGCTTTAATCAAGGCTGTAGGTTTGTGAGGGCAGTAATTTCCAATGGCTCACAGGGGTATTTTTGCATTAGTAACTAGCTGGTTTACAACAGAACAACACTTCTTTTATTTGCATAGTTGCATCTACATTTGAAATTTAATAATTTCAGAAGAGAAGGATTATCCATTCATTTAGGAATGCGTTCAGCAATTACCCATTGAGCACCTATAATTTGCCAGCCTCTAGAAGCGCTGCAGGAGGAGAAAACAGCAGGGTAACCCTCAGCCCTCATAGAGTCTGCACTTGACCCTTGAACAACCTGGGTTTGAACGGGCGGATCCACGTGTACGTGGGTTAGAAAACAGGAACACTGGTACGGATCATCTCCCTGGTAGCGGTTCCTATCTCCACTAAATGGCGTCCTGAATAAAAAGTTATTTCTCTCAGTGGTCAAGTATTTTCATTGTGTTTAATGTAGGACCAAAAAACAAAAAGTAAAAGAAAGAAAGGACACGAGAAACATGCCACAGGTGATGGCGGAGTGCCCTCCAGAAGCCGAAGAAAGAATTGCTTGATGTGTCCTGTAGGTGAAGGTCTGCAGCTACGGTTGCCCCTTCCAGATAAAGGAATCCAGAGCAGGGAGCATTGCGAAGGGAAGAGGAGAGGAGAGGAAACCCAGGGGCATTGTTGCTGCAACTCAGTACCTTTAGCAAACTTCCTTCTTGCCTCTTGAGACTGCAGCTTTCATACATACAGCATACCGAGTGTATGTGAATCGGCCAAGGCTGTCATCAGGAAGCTTTCCAACCAATGTAGTTACATTTCAGAGTAGTCAAAAGTTACATGCGGATTTTGAACTCTTGAAGGGTTCACGGGTCAACTGCACATTCAAGGGGTACTGTGAGAATAGGTCATTTTTTTTAAATAATGGTAGGTCAAATGATAAGTGCTAAGGAGAAAATTTAGATAGGAAAGGAATTATGGAACCATCAGAGAAGGCAGTTTTAGGTAGACTGCCAGATCATCATCATCATCATCATCATCATCATCGCTGTCATCATCCACCCACCTCGTGCTCCGCCCTCCCGGGGACTAGAGAAGCAATCAGATGCGTTGGCTCCCCACGCTCATCACAGGGAGAAGGGTGGGAATGAGGTCTGAGAAACAGCTGCTCCAGGGGTAACAGGTGAAGCTGGCCATGCTGTACTCCCTCGACCCCGCCAGGCACACAGCCCTGCGAGTTCTTATTCTCTCGCTCTCTTCTCGTCTGGTTTGGCTCTTTCAGACACTTCTGAGGTCTGAGCAGCTGCTATTTCAAAATGTAGCATTATTGACAGAATGATTTAGAGACGGCAAGTTTATTGTTCTTGAATTTCCTATCAAAGGGAGTGGAGGCTACGCCAAGGGCGAAGCACAGGGAAATGTGTTATTGCCACAAGTGACTCAGATATTTTATGAAGTTATGTGAAGCAGCCAAGCTCAAAGGATGCCATGTGATGCCTTAAGAAATTAAAGGTCCAGTGCCCTCCATTTGTGCATGGGAAAGCCAAATGAAGACACAGAGGGTGTGCTACCCCAGGATACGCAACTCATTTGCAAAGAGTAGTGACTCCGATGTGCCCACTGTACCGTATCACCCAGAGCTGAGGCATTTTAAAAAGCCACTCTACGGTAGGCAGAAAGAGTCCTGATAGATTGTTTATGGGCCAGATTACTCCAAGGCAATTTATTTTTCATACAATATGAAAGTCAAAAGCCTCAACAATGACTGAGGTGCTAGGGCTCCGTTCTGGCTGAATACAGATTATGAAACCCTGAGGCCCAGCAATGGCAGTGGGAGCAAAACCAGCATCCTTCTAAGTGCTTTCGCGAAGGCCAGGGAGGTCCAGAACCCTTTTTCTTAAGTAACCATGGATGACTTGGGCTATTGGAGCATCTATGGTTTGGAGTCACAGGCAAAGTATAATTGTAAATGTAACACTACAAAGGATATGTTCAAAAGTCAAGTGCATATATACATATTTTTTTAATAAAGAACGTTGCTTTGAACTGACTACTGTTGGTACCTGCTACCTCAGTCCCCAATCTGGCCATTCTCAAATGTTCTCAATGTATGCATCCGTTTACCGTCATTTCTCTTCTGTCTGCACGCACCTGAAGGAAAGAACAAGGGGAAGCATCGAGCAGGTTTGTGATTTCTCTTCTGCTGCATGTTTGTATATACAACTGATGCCTAACTGATGTTTTCAATGTGTCTCATGGACGTAAAATCGATCAACAAATGCGAGATGATTAAAAGTGACCTTTCCCAAGATTGCCTGCAAAGGTTGCTGTTTTATTGATTTTTTTTTTAACTTGGGAACAGAAATATCTTCCCTTGACTCGCTCAGTGCTTTTTAAAAATCTACACGGTATGGAGCATTCTAGGGAGCAGCACCCTAATGATGGTCATTGGTTTTTCCTTGCTGGTGTTTTCTCAGAAGTCTTATCCAAGTGTTGGCCTTCTGTGATCTAGAGGGTGCACAACAGCAACGTCTTTCTCTTGCTGTTCTAGTCCCTGGAAGCAGAGACAGACATCCTCCCCTTCATTGGGTCCTTCCTGCCGGAGTGAGAATCTGTTTTCCTGGCCAAGGAGGGCACTGTGTACGGGAGATGATAATAATCGAGCTGAGACATCTCCAGCCCACTGAGATTTGCTCTAAGAGAAGGCAACTTTCCTAGGTACTTTACTTCTTCCTCCCTTAGAAGTCAGTGCTGAATCAGACAAGACAGCAGCTTGGACCTAGCTGGAATAAGAGGTGGAAGATAACATACAGATTGGTGTTAGAGAGGGTCGAGAAAGGGTTGAGTCTGGAAGCAAAACCCTGAAGGACAGTTCCCGGAGCAGACCTGCACTGATGTGTGGGAGAGAAGAGGCAGAACCTGCAGCAGAAGCCCAGGTCTTGGAAAGGAGGAAGGGATGTGTGTCGATGGTCTTTTTCCATCATTGGCACATACCTCAGGAAGAGGAAGCAAAAGCAGCCCCCCTGCCAGGAGTCAGCCCCTGAGTGTGGAGTCCGTGCCCGTCCAAGGATTTCTCCCTTAGTTTTATACTGTTTCAATCATAGCATTGAAAATCACAGAGTGATTTATAGACAGTTCTAAAGTGAGTTGTGAAGATTCACTCGAGGTGATGAGCCTTTGGGTTCATAACTTCAGAAGTTTCATAAACCAAAACATGCAGGAGGCAGGATAGATTCGACAAGACAAACATCAGGGACTCCTCTTGCGTAGGTAACTTACACAAGGAATGGTTTCAAGACTCCTCTCTGACTTAGTAGACAGAGAGTTAGAGCAAAGAGCATTGGGTATTCCAGGGTCATAGATCCTGGATATTTTAATAGCCTGAAGAGTTGCCCTTCTCCACGTCAGATATTTCTGCCCAAAGAGATGCCCTTGTTGGTAGACTCAGGGCATTCTTTGCACAGATACTGAAATCAGCAGACTGGCCAATCCTGAGCCATTCGTGGTCCTTTATCTAGACTCCATGCTGCCTCCTCCAGTCTTCTCCTCTGTTAGCTTTACTTTAAAATAACTTCTTAAGTTACTGCAAATAAGTCACAGCCATCATGAGCTGCTTTAGTCTCTTTAGTGTGATTTTGGAAAACACCTTTACCTAGGTGTTTGTCCATGCGCACGGCTGTGGTTTCGAAGGTCATTCATATACATATGTAGTCCAATGTTCACAGAACCACCGAACCAGGTGGGCAGTATAGAGATTCTTGGCTTGTTTATGGTGCTTAGCTATTTGGCAGAAACCACCTTGGCGCATGCCATGCACATGCTATACCATGTACTTTACTCAATGCTTCATGGACACCTAAGGCTTTTATCCCCCAACTTTCTGTCATGTCATTCTATAAAGGCGTGGTGGTGAATGTGCTCAGTAAGTCACTTTTGATCAAATAATAAAATGTCCCTGACCTTTTATTGCACAATTTAAAGGGAGATAAAACAGCAACAAAAATGAAAAAGGGGGAGAAATATTGAAAGAGGGAAAAAATTAAAACATTGCAATATGCTGAAGGAAATTAGCCGAGGTTGCTATTTTAATATTGCCTTGGCTTTTCTATCTTGCATTTCATATGCATTGGAATTTTTAATACTGCTTAATAAATGCAGAAAGACGATTGTATTAACAATAACAACAGAATTATATTAGGAAGTAACAAGTTTTTCTTTATCCAAACCAAACAGAAAAAAATGCATTTGTAATGAGAATTCTCCCTTTGAAGAAAGCCGGTCCAGATCTAGAAAATAGTGTTGATGAATTCTTGACCCAATTGCAAATGAGCTCATTAACTCCACCCAAGTTCAGAGCCATTGACTGCCATTGAGTTATAAATGGTGATCCAGATAAACAGAATAAACATGCTCAGCCCAAGCAGGAGCCAACTTGGTTACCTTTCAGATATCTCAAAGCCTGCTTGCTAGTTCCTATCGTGCCTTCTGATTTTCATTGTGCTACGAACCCTAAATAATCCTATCAGAGATTAATTTACTATGCCAATGACTAACCCTCCCTGGTGCCTGGCGCTCCATCTGAATGACAGGGCCTTGAAGACTGGTCTGTCCTGAGATGTTCTTCTCATTGCAGAATGGTCAGGACACCACACATGTGCATACACACCCTTAGTTCACAATCTTCCCTGCTCTGGAATATTTTTGTTGGAGAAGGGAGATTCTGTCTTCATTGATGTTAATATATACCTAAGCTGAGTTCATCTGCAATGTCCTAGGCCAGCAGAAACACCGAATTCCAAGATGGTTTGGCATTGCTGGTAACAGATTCAAAAGGTTGCTTTAAAAGTACACACCATCACCCATAAGAACAACTTATTTTTTAAATTGAACAGATTTTCCCCCTCTTTTACTGTATAGATGTCAGTTGTAGTAGGGAATAGAACTCATCAGGATAAGAGGTGTACAAGCCCCAAATAAAATGATTTTTTTAATTAACTAAATAAGTAAATAATAAAAATGTTTGATTAAAAAAAAAACTTATCATGAACCCATCTGACCATATCAACCCAGGATCCTGACCTTAACGCCCTCTGTCCTACCTCCTTCAACAAGAGGTCAGCTGTCCATCAAACAGCCAGTTTACCAATGAGAATTTCCCTTCTTCCTACTTGCTAGGTTTTTTTATTACTGTAAGAACAGATCACATCAGATGAGGCTCAGGGATTATGAGTAATAATAATTATGCCATATAAATTACGTGGTATATTAAAATACACTTATCTCTACTTATTCTATCTCCTGAATCTGCAACCGTGGCCTCCGTGCCCCTTGTGTGTTAAGCTGCCTTAACCACAGTGTATAAAGCACTAACAGAGCTCTTTCAGGTTTCTTTATACTAGATGCTCCAAGGTGCTTTCCCAGGTACTTCGGAGAGTGTTCTAAAGGTGCACGTGGTAAAAGTGAAAGCTTTTATTACATTACACTGCTGGGAAATGATTGGCTGAGTGCTTTGTCTAAGCCACTCTGGTTGGCTTTCCGAGGGGGGCGTGTGCCTTTGGGGAAAGAACTCCTGAGCACAGTGGAAATGGCCGTGTGTTCTTGGAAGGTTTCTTCTGGGTTTCTTTTCCAGTGTTTTCACTTGCTTTCTTCTGTATTCAATGAACGATCTGCATGTGGTGTTACACTACACTCAGGAAAACAAGACTCTTTTTTTCTCTTTTTCTCATTGAGAACTTGTGTCCTTCTTGGCATGATGTTAGATTGTTTGGCCAGCTTTTCAAAGTGGGCTCTCCTGCTCACGTGTATTCATAGAGGAATACAGTTGACTTTTAAAACCACATCCTGAGACTAGAAATGAGAAACTTAATTTTTCAAATTTTTACAATTTTTTTTTTCTTTTGTACATGTATTCTATCTGCTAACTGGTGACAGATACTCACAGACAATGCCCATGCAACAGATGCTGACACATAGATAACCATCATTTGCCATGCCAATTTCAAATCTAATTATTTCAAACCATTCATTAAGATCATCAGATAGGTTTCAAGCAGCACAATTAAACTACAGTGCTAGTGTGTACTGCTAACATCATTAGTGTGTTTATAAAAATAAATGATAAAACCAAATGGCTTTATTTTTAAGGGGGGAAAAATAATCCCTAAGCACTTTCCTGGTGGTGAAATGCTTAGTAATGTGCTGCTCTATTTCCCTCGCTCCTAGTAAGTTCTGTAGTAATAAGCAGAAGCTCTTCAGAATGTACACCTCACGGAAGCAGAGGTACCCAGCATCTGGCTATTGACATGAGATTTGAGAATGCCAACTAACTTCAGGTGCATGACCAGGTTACACTGCCACCTTCACCTGAGCCCGGTTCAGAGACTCACTCTTCCTAGGGACTTCTTGAATGAGGTTTTCAACCTGCTTGGGATTTCCCTGGTTGCCTGTTGCCTGCTTTGATGCTCTCTCCCACCTTGGAGGGTACAGGCAGGGTCCCACGCAGTGCTGGCAGTGAGCCCGTGGGGGTCCTGCGTGGTTGGACAAATGCTGAGCTGCTGCACGCCCTCGGTGGTTATGATTCCGTTGCCATATTGTGCCTGAGGTGGGAATTTGTCGAATGCTTGTCTGATGAAGGGCTTAAGCCCTAATTAAGTATAGCAATAGTTGCAGTATTCTAAGTCCGAGAGTATGACTATAGGGTGGCAATGCCCAAGTTCCCTGGCAGAGGATATTCAGTAGTAGACTGCATGTGGCACCATTTGAATAGCTTGCACATCTGGTTCCTTGAGAAGGAAGCATTCCTTGCAGAGAGATTGTGCAAACTCCCCAAAATATGGCCCTCGGTTGGGAATGTGGAGCTGCATGCTGAGAAAGATGCTCCATCCACGACCCTCGTGACCTTTGCGTTACTTTCTCTAAAGAGAAGACTCCTGTCTCATCTCCTGGTGATGCTTTCTTGCTTTCTCCATAAAAAAAAACACTGTTGCATACATTTGCCTTGAAAAATGATGTTTACAAAAAGCAGGGAAATAATGAAAATGAATGTACCAGTGGAGAGTCTATATTTTTAATCAATGCGAGTTTTCGATAATACCTAGCTAATCAGTTGACTAGCTAGCCATCTCATCAAGATGCTCTGTTGATTTCCGAAGAGGAGATGAAGTAGAAGACCAGCCAAAAGGAGTTTTTTTGTTAGAGGACACAAGAACAGATCTTGGCCTTCAGAAAGAAAGTTTTGCCTGGCTAAGAAGTTCTGGCTTCGTATCTTAGTCTTAGCTTTCATAAAAGTATGTCGGAAAATAATTGAAACTTTGTTTTTCTAATTTCATATGTGAAATGTTGAGTTCAGTTTGAAATAGCCCCTGAGAAGCTTCCTCTCGTATCAGACATTGGCAAGATCCACAGACTAGGAGGACAAACGAGAAATGAGACTTCACGCAATTCACAGTGATGAGTAATTGATTAAGGAAAGAGTGACTGGCCCCTAGAAGGAATTTGTATTCCCTTTAAATACTTTAAATGCTTCTGGGATTCTGAGAATGACATTATCTGGACTTGTATTAATCTGTAGACGTAATCTCAAAATTTTTTCATAAGGACAGTTTTCAAAAGTATTCTCATGCATGGACACAATTGTAAAACACACCTTTGTAAATTTAGATGAATCCATGTAGACCTAGTGCAGTTACTACCTTCATTTTAGATATTTTTCAGTTTTCAGCAATAGAACATTTTAAAATGAAAACATAAGGTTCTTTTTAAATGGTGCTATAATGTTTTGACCAGTTTCTGGATCATCTGGGGAGCATAAGAAAAAGATGTATATTGAAAGTTTGAGAAATAAATGTACATGACATTCATTAAAGCCAGCCTTCCCTAGTAATTAGCACCTGTCGGTTCCACAAAGGTAAGAGGATTTGAGCAGGTGGAGTGAGGAACTTGTAGAAATAGCTGTGTAAACTTGAGCCATTCATGAATCGGAGGAAAGGACAGATCATCCTTTTAAGTGATGAGACAGATCTGCTCAAACTTAAGAGACTTGGAATTTTTACAATAATTTGAAGGAAAAAAAAAGCTTAGAAAAAGTAAGCATTTGGAGCACTGTCGCTTTGATGGGTTTGTTCAACTGAGGGCTTTCGAATGGCACTGGAACCCCAGCTGGAGAATAGAAAGATGCAGTTTTATGATGTTGCTTTTTTTCATATAACCTTATCATCGAATCGCATCTGTCATACGCATAAATCCTTCGACTGCTGGGATTCCTGGAAAGAACTCTTGAACCCACCTGATCCCATCACAAAACTGCCAAGCTGTTCCCTGCACGTTGCCTTCCGCTGCTCGTGCTAGACTTCGCTCTGTTTGCTTTTCAGAAGCGGGCTGTCAGTTGCATAGTCTACTGTTTACTGTCACCAGGCTCTCTGACCACCACGGATCATGATTTGATTTGTTTTCATGGTAACCCCGTCAACTGTGGTGTCTTCTGAGACGCTCGTTGTTTAAGTAACTAAACATATGGAAAAATCAATGTTACTGTTTCTTGTTAGCTACAAACCAGAGCCACTAAAACACATTTGCTGTCGGCATGCTGCAGTTTGGGACAGTGGACGTTGCGGTAAGTGGAAAAGACAAAGCCTCCACTCTGTCTCAGACAGCCCTTGTCCGTGAGAATGGGCTCTTCATCTTCCCTGCAAGCTCATTGCACCCTCAGTTCCCAGGCTCCGGATAGCCTGAGGTGTCTCCCATTGATAACACCTTCTAATGAATAACACAAGCCGTTTCTAGAAGAAACAAGAAAACAAATAAGAGTATGCAAAGCTTTTACACATTCCTGTGGACAGGAAAACCATCCCTATGCCGGGAGCCAAAGATTCATGTTAACTTTTCTTGTGTGTGGGAAACAGACTCCTCTTTGTATCAAAACATACGGCATTTCAACCGTCTTGACATGTACAATTAAGTGGCAGTATGGGCATCATGTTGTTCAACCAGGGAACCAAATAGTTCATCAAGCATCAACCACGTGCTAAGCACTTCCCATTCTCATTCCACGTCCTTTGCTTCCCACAGAAATCCCTTAGCCGTGTTGTTTTTGTCCTCTCCGTCTTAAGAGAGAAGGACCCCAAAACCCAGGGAGGTGCAGTGACTTGGCTATGAAGCAGGGAAAGCTGGGATTCCAACCCAGGTCTCTCTGACTCCGCCTTGTGAAGCTGCCTGCCCCTCACCCCACCTCTCTCCCTCAAAAGCGTGGAGTGCACTTTGCATTTTGTTGCTGCGACTGCTTCTTTCCCTTAGCAGCCCCAAGAATTCAGTCTTTGGCTGGCATCTGAGAACGGAATGTCTGGACAAATATAATTTACCAGTAGCTGCCACAGCAAATCAATAACCTGTTTAATAGCAGGAAATTGTGTTAGTGAACATAACATCTCCTTCCGTTAATCAGTCATCGCATTCATTCTATGCTGGGGCTATTCCATCTTGCTCGTTTTTCTCTCCCAAGAATGAATGCAAGCATAAAGAAATGTGATGTTAAGTGTTGTGTGTTTAGTATTATGGACGCTACCAATTGCTAGGAGATTGCATGAGTTAGTGGAGATCACACTCTTGCCTGAAATATAAAATGCATGCAGAATGTAGATATTTATGAACCTGCCGTCCCTGTTTCCCTGTACAAATGTTTAGAAATTACAAAGCAACATGCTCCCAAATCAGAGTGTTTTTCATCTCCAAAGCTGAGGTTAAAACAGAATCAACACACTACCAAACCAGTACCTGGAGGTTTCTCAGGCCACTCCCTCTCTGTGCACCGCCGTACTCCCCTGAGTCCTTTCCATGGTCATTCCAAGAGGGGGGTGTGTACCTGTAGAATGAAATTTAATTTCCAACGAGCATCAACACAGAGATTAAATCAAGCTCAGCTTTTCGGTAAGGGGACACATAACATTGCTATGCTCCAACTTGCTTGAAACCATTGTAGCTAATGAAATCTAGCAGTTCATCAAATTATTTAACTCAACGTGGAGTGGAAGACATTGCTTGAAATGGAATAATCATACCTCTGTTCTCCACAGTCAGAAGCTAAGTTTTAAGGAGCGAGTGCGCATGGCTAGCCCGAGGGGCCAGAGCGTTAAGAGCAGACAAGCCTCCATCGGGGACAGGAGGTCCCCAAGCACCGACATCACAGCCGAGGGCAGCCCTACCAAAGTGCAGAAGAGCTGGAGCTTCAACGACCGGACCCGCTTCCGGCCCTCGCTGCGCCTCAAAAGTTCTCAGCCCAAACCTGTGATCGACGGTAAGGCCTGTTTTTCCGTAACCATTTATTTAAGAGCGATTGTGCAGTGATTAATTTGCCATGGTGCCACTTGAAGATAGAAGGAAACAGCCCTGGGGAAAGAATGGCTTGTTTGTTTTATTGGAAATGTATCCACTGCCTTGGGCAAACGTACCAAACCCCAGTTTACTTTCAGAAGCAACTTCAGCGGCTAAAGCTGCATTTCGAAGAAGCCCACAAGATGTTCCTAGTTCTTCACTTTTATCTCTAGCACACGGTTTCTTTCGCAGGCTCGTGTGGCCACAGCTTGTCTCTGGTAGCGGAGGGCCCAGGGCAATCCGCCTGAGCCAGCAGCACCTTCCTGAGGAGCGGTGAAGGGCTGTGGCCCTTTTCCAATATTTGCCATCGACCATGAAATCCAGACCCCCGTTTCCGTTCTTTAGCAAGATCCCTGGTGACAATTCTTTTGAAGTCTCCCAGCGAGAGCTGAGGCCCAAGTTCTTCTCACAGGAGGAAGGAACCTATTTTAGTTATCATACTATGCAGAAGTTGACATGCCAGCATGTTTTATTGAGTGCTACATCATTTTTGAAGTTTATCAAATAAAACATTTTATTTTTCTCACTTAACATTAGCTTAGCTTTCCTTTTAAGTATGCCCCCCGGGATTGCTTATGCTGGGCAAAGAACCAAAATCAAATGGCATCTTCTATTAAGCGTAGCATTTGCAAACACTATCAACCCTTCTGTTCCCATTCCCTCGCATAACCTGGATGTTCCCAGGCCCTGGAAGCCCCAGGGATAACATTAACAACTGAGGGTCAACACACAGAGTGATCTCAGGCTCTGTGTGAGGAAATTGCTGGGGCCCCAGCCTGCGGTGCTCCCCGCTCAGTCCTAGATCCTTGGAGATAGCTCTTACACTCTCAAAGTACCACTAGGAGGCCCTCTTCCCTGGGCCTCATTCGCCACAGCCCGGGGTCACATGCTCTCCGTGTGCACTCAGGACGCTGACCTGGGGCCCCTCCTGGCACAGTTCACAGCTTTCATGTTGGTCCCAGAACATCCTGATCTGGCCACACTTCCCTTCACCTGTTGCTTCCTGAGGCAGAAGATGCCTCGTCCCCCGGCACTGAACGCTCCTCCACGAAGCCACGGGCTGCGCCCTGAGTCACTGTGGGCACAGCTCCTCCGTGCCTTCTCTTTCCTCTCTTCTCCCGAGCCCATGAGCAGCTGGGTCAAGAGTAACAGACAAAGCTTTCGGAGAAAGCTGTAAGCTGCACTCAGAATAGACTCTGAATGTCAATGGGGGCATCCTTTCTGGAAGGCAACTTGGCAATATATTTCAAAAGCTTTTTAAATACGCATAAGCTTGGACCTACACCACCCACCAGTTCCATTTCTAGGAACTTATCCTAATGAAATCATAAAGGATGTAATTACAAGGAAATCTACCCGAGTATTGTTTATAGTCATGAAAAATACTAAATAGCTTGTGTTTCCAATAGAGCTTTGACAGCCTGGATACCCAACAGGGATCTGGGTTAAATGAATTAGAGTGCACAAATATAATAAAATCCTGCCAGGCCTTAAAATTATCCTGTTAATTAAAAATTATTGTTGATATGGAAAAATGATCACAGAAAAACAAATTAGTCCATTTCTGTTTTAGATCTATTTATAGTTATATACATATCTATATAGCTTCAAAAAAGTTCATGGAAACTTCCAATCTCCTTTAATTCCATTTGTCCATGAACTCTTTTGAAGCCCCCCTCTTCATATACGAGTATAATATATCGTCCATGTATAATAAACACAAACATGAATAATGCATATAATAAACTCACATATCTAGAAGAAAAGGTACAGAAAGATTTAGAACACTATATTGACAGTTCATTTCAAGTGGTGAAATTATACTATATAGTGCTCCTTCATTTGGTTCTTCTGTATAATCCTAATGTTTCTACAATAAGGATGTGAAACTTTTATAATAGGAAAACAGAAAAAGATTTTCCAGTAAATGATTAGCCTTTCATTTCATACATTGTCCTCTCTCCTCTCCCCCAACTTCAGAGACCCTTGGTGGTTCTAATTGGAACTTGACAAACCTCTCTCCTTAGACTGATTTCCCCCAGTGATGTGCTGACTGGGTGGGCGCGGTGCTGGGGCTCAGCCTTCACCGAGGGCAGGCTCCTCTCTAACGAGCTTTAACTGCCTGGGCTACAAGCAGAGCTTCTGCTCACCGGCGTCACAGCATCCCTGCGTGTGCTGCTGTGTACGTCGCTTCCGGCAATCCAGGTTTGGGGTTCACACTTTTGTAAGACAAATGTGCATTACACACGTGAGCCCAGACTCTTCTAAAGGGGGCTTCCAAAAGCACTCAACGCAGCCCTTACATTTGGCTGGGCACATTTAAGTAGAAAGCTCTTAGAATCTGGATTCTGAATATGGAAAATGAATTCTACTTGTGCTGTTTGTCCATCGGAAAAGAATCTTGGGAAAGACTCTCCATCATAGTTTGTTCAGTATTTGCAAAGGTGGGTCAGATGGATAGAAACCAAAGTTCTATTCTCATCCAAATCACAAATTGGAAAGGTCTCCTGTCATCTCTTCTATGTATCGTTTCTTACGAGTACGGTTCTGTTTGGTTAGACAGGAATTGCTTTTCCCTGGTTGATGCCCATCTCAATTGATTCTGAGTTCCCCAAGTGACCGGAAGCCTAACTGTGCTCGATTTAAGTAGCTTTGCTGGCTGCCCACCTGCAATAGGAAATTGTGACTCTTGACTCCTCATTGTACCTGAATGTTCAGAATCTTCCCCTCTGATTTAACGTAGCACTAGATATTTGGAAAACAGAAGTTCTTTTGTGTTTTTAACTGACCAAAAAAACCAGATAGTAACTGTAAAATGAAGATTAAGTTTGCTTATACAGTTTTCTTTATACTGGCTCTCCAGGTTTTAAGTACTTAAGTATTTTAGAAAATATTTACTACCCATAGAAAACTATGTACAAGGATAAATCAGAAAGCATTGCCACTGTGTTTCCAGTTCTTACATTATAGGTCTTTTCCAAACTAAAGGTGTTTAATTGTGCTCTGCCGTCAGTGGACAGCTATAAATTTGCTCAGGAATGAACTTTTCGTATTCTCATTAGGATGCCTCAAAAAGAAAAAGAAACAAAGATCCCATGAAAACTCAGCTTCTGAGAGAATCTGATAAATTCACAGTAGAGAGGTCAGCCCAGGATTTAAAAATAGAAAACTGCATAGATAAGAAAAAGACCCGGAAATTTGGGCCTAGGAATTGTTTTCAAATTTTTTGAAACGCACAGGGCCAGTTCTAACCTGCCCTACAGGGTCACAGTGAATTGACATTGACTCCCTGGCCGTGTATGAAGACAAGAGAAAGACGAAGCTGCCTGCGCCTGTAAAGATTTACAATCTCAGACGCCCTGTAGAGTAGTTCTACACTGTCCTGGGAGGCCTGGGGCTGGAGCGGAGCAGGGCTGGGGGGGGTCTTGTTTGTTTAGTTGGTTGATTGGGTGATTATTCGCTTGTCCACTTGTAGAGCAATTGTTTCCTATTTCTTTCTTTCTGTTACATATTTCAGGCAGTGCACTGCCTCTTAGGATCCTCTAGGAAAGTGGGTGACGAGCAAACAGAATGAGAGAGATTCAGATCCATCTTTTGCGAATAGCTAAAAGTGAGATTTGGAAAATAGTGAGCCTGTAACTGAAAGATCACAGGCAGTTTCAAGCCTGCCAGCGGCTCCTCTCGAGAAAGAAGTCTGAATTCATGTGCCTGCTCCAGGTAGTTATTTTCCCTGTAGGATCAGAGAGAAAGACCTTTGCCCCTTCAGCTTCAGTTTCTTAGTTGCTTAGAGGGCTCATATGCCATCACATCGGTTTGTCCCCAACTATAGTTGCTTCTTTGATCTGCTTAATCCATATCCCTCCTATCCCTCCAATTTCTCCCATTTATATTAAAAATATTTGCTCTTTTAAGTCTCTAAAATGATTAACTAATATAGTATCACCTCATTGACATAAAAAATAAATAAATAAAATAACCAACCCTTTCCCAAGTGGTATTATAACCACAGGTTTAGGGGTTAGGATTTACCAAACATATTTTAAGGGGATGCAAATCAATGCATAACATTCTGCTGTTTGTCTCCCAAAATTCCATATCCCTCCCACATGCAAAACCCATTCACCTCATCACACCATCCTCCAAATCTTAAATCCATACCATGCCCAAAATCTCATTTTCTGAATCATGTAAAACTGATAGGAGGTTTGTCCTATCCTGGGACAAAATTCCTCTTCATCTGTGAACCTGTGAAACTTAAGAATATAACTTATCTTTGTCCAAAGTTCAATAAGGCAGCAGGTAGCACAAGATGGATATTTCCATTGCAAAAGGAAGAAAGTGAGGCGAAAGAAGAGATCATGGTCACCAGCTGAGTGTGAAAATGAGCAGAACAAATTACACTTGCTCTCAAGGCTTGAAAATAATCCTTTGTTCCCTCGACCCATCTGGACAACCACCCAGCCCTTCAACCTCTGGGTGTTTGTCACTTTCTCTGAATTCTTGGTCAAGACTCCTTGGTCATGGGCATCATCCCCACCTAAATAGTGACTCCACTTCCTCATCCCAAGCAGGCTCCAGCGCTGTGGACCTGGCAGCCCCACCCCTGAAGCTTCGATCTGTAGCCCTATCCTTCTGATGAACCACATTCCAGAGTTGAGTTGATGCCGATTTGAGTCTTTGAAAGTTAGGAAGACATTCCTCCATTGTTAGAGACCCAAGACACTGAGAGGCTTCCCCCCTTTGAAACCAATACAGTCCTCATTCCCCTGCTTCTTCTCACAGTTCTGCTGGTCTCTGAACTGCACCAAGCATGACCCTTTGCTTTTCGTGAAGGACAGGAGATGTAGCTCCTTTGGCCTGTTTCTTGCCTGTAGAATTCCAAGAGCCAGACAGCATTCTCCTCTTTCATTCCCACTGTGTCCC